ACATTCCTACTCCTTCGTCCCCACCTTTGCTCTCATTTAGATGGTATCCCCACCTGTACTTCTTAAACTTTTTAAAAAATTTAATACACATTTCTCTGTTTATAATGGCAACTAGGATTGGAAATTAGCTTGTTGATAAATATTCTTTAATGTAATTACAAAGAAGTAATCGCAAAGGGAGATCAAGGCTTTCTCCTTCTACCTTCCATCTAAGTTATCAAAAAGTAAGGTAGGCTATTTATATGCAAATCCCAAGGTGATGTCATAGGTCCATGGGAAGTAAAACTTAAATGTAATCTTCAAAAAACAATAGGATTTAGTCAGACGTATATGCTTACTGTTAGCCCTCACCACCTCCAAAGATATAAAAATTCCCTCAAAATATGTAGTTATTAATGAGCTTAATATCTATGTATATATGTGTATATATGTACAGGCATGCCAATACCTTATATTAAAATGAAGAACCTTAAAATGTTAAATAGTAGCATTAAAATATAATAAAACCTATAAAAAGAGGGAAAAAGCAGATCTTTGATCAAGTATCCTGATTTGAGGATAAACCAAGGTAGTACTTTAAACTCAATCTTGAGAAACTTAGGAGACAAATATTTAAATGTCAAAGTCTGTTATATTAACTGGAATCCAAACACAAAGTGTCCCTAACTCTAGCCCTTTGTTAAGCACCATTAAATTCTATTGTCCTGAATAATGTTCATTATATACCATGTATGTGTGAGGGTACAGGGACAGATAAATAGCAAGTACAACATAAACAAATAAGGAAAAATAGGCCAGCTGGTAGCCTGGTGGTTAGGCAGCTGGATCCCTCATGGCCAATTGCTCACATGGAGTCCCAGACCTGCAGCTTGAAAAACACACTGGGGCATATGTGTGTGCATACCGCAAATCCCAAGAGCAGATGGAAGGGATTGTAATGTGGCCATCCCCCTGGGGGATGCTTTCTCACTTTCTCTCTATGTCTGTCTGTCTCTGTATGTATTTCTCTGAAGAGCAGATGCACCTCATAGTAAAACTAAAGCAAGGAAGAAGAAAAGAATGTCAATGCCCAATATTCTTTCCAATATGTTTAACTGACAACTATTCCAGAGAAAGTTATGAATTAGTATATATTGGGAGAGAAGAGGAACACACTCAGACACCAAAATAAAGATTAGATTTCTTTAGCACAGAGTATATACTCATTAAATATTTGTTAAATGAGTAAATTAACATTAAAAGTATTTTATAATAATAATTTAGTTTAAAGATAGCTTTCATAGAAAAACAGATATTCTGTCAAACTTTATAGCCAACTTCATTTATGGTGTTCCCTTAAGATTTTCCCCAATTTGGGTGCATGGGAGACCATATGCATATGCAAGGTCAAGATAACCCTAGAAATGATATAAGAGAAACTCACTACTTGAATTTTGCTTTTATGAAAAGTGTATATCATCATAATGTCACATTCTAAATGGAGAAAAAAATATTTGTTTCACTCAATACCAATAGATGAAATTAAGCTTGAGTAGATTGCATCTTAAACAGGGGTCATTGCCAGATTTAGTATTTATTTTTTAATGGCAACTCTATAAATCCAATGATATGAAATAAAAAATACATGTAAAATTGACATATCTTCATGATATTTTAAACATGAGCCAATATATTTAGATATTTAGCTTCAGAATTTCAACCATGCTTGGTCAACTTTTGACTCCAGATCGATCTATGATACTTCCCCTATGAAAAGCTAAATTTGGCAATACTTTTCTCACTTCTCAAAATTATAATTCCAACAAAATCATGCACAGATTTTTAACACAAAGTTCAATATATTATTTTGTTTAATCTCACTTAGTAAAATTGAGTCAGCTCTTTCTTTTTGAATTCCCAAATATGTAAGTGAAGTTGATACTTGTGGAACTTGTGCAAAGATAAACTCAAGCTAGGATGCTTCTTATATACATAAATAAATAATCTTTCCCTCATAATGGTATGCAAAGACCCTGTCTCTAGAAGTCTTGTGTAAGAACATTAATTATGCTATTGATCTATGCCAATCAGCATATTGATTAGGTGCAAAGTATTTCAAAAACTACAGCTATTTCTTTATTGTAACATTTTTGTTAACTAATAAGTTTGGCTCAGGTGCCTAACCCAGAAATACACTTGGCTTCTTTACCACATTGTTGGGCTTTTTGGCTTTTATTTGTTATTCAATGGACAAATATGTACTTTACATTGCACTACTGGATTTTTCTCCATGATGATGATCAAAACAAAAGAACTTTCTTACTACAGTTGAAAACTTACATGATGCACAATTGGTTTGAGTTACCAAAACCAATCCAAATAATGCTAAGAAGTGTTTCTTATTAATTATAAGTGTAAATTTAGCTTTAAAAAAAAGATTTGAGGGATTAAAGAGAAAATAAATATTTCAAATAAATATTTATCATTACATTGTTGAGCTATGCCCCCATGGTTATCAGTTTATTCCTGGGGTAAGGGTCACTTTGGACCACAATGTTTAAAATGTTTATGCCCTTTGATTCAACTTTCTATATGAAGATGTTGATTTTGAATGAAAATACATAGAAATAGATTTACGGGACCAGCCATGGCCCGGTGATTACTTGAACTGGATCCCACATAGCCAACTACATAGTTCAAGTCCGAGATGTGGGGCTTGAGAAACACACTGAGCATGTATACGCGTGTGTGTGTGTGTGTGTGTGTGTGTGCCCAAAATTCTGAAAGGAGAAAGAAATGAAGGAGAAGGGATTGCTGTGTGACCATTTCCCATGGGGGTGCTTTATTTCTCTCTCTCTCTGTCTCTCTCCCTCTGTCTCTGTCCAGCAAGTGCATGTACACTCTGGCAAATTAAAAAAAAATACTAACATAGAGATAGACTTATATACAAGGATTTTTGCCTCAACATTATTTCTAGATGGAAAATTCAGAAAACAATACAAGAGAGGGGAAATTGTTAAGTAAACTAATATACCTTCAAAATAGGGCCTGTTATGCAGTCACTAAAGATGTTTTCAGGGCCAGGAGGTGGCATGGTGGTTAAGGCACCGGACACCCACATAGCCAAGCACAGTTTGAGTCCTGGACCTGGTGAATTGAAATTCACACCAGGTGCCTTCATGCCCAAAATCCCAGGAGGAGAATGGAGGAGAAGGGATTGCGGGATGGCCACCCCCCAACCAGGGGGGCGTTTTCTCACTTTCCCTCTCCCTGTCAGTCTCTGTCTCTCTCCAACAAGCATGCATGCCTTATGGCAAAACCTTTTTAAAAATTATGTTTTCAAAAACTTTTAATGATTTTTAAAAAGTTCTGCCTCCAAATTTTTGAATGAAGAAAAAAGACTGCATAATTATATCCAGAATGAACGTATGGGAACACACACACACATACACACAAAAACTCTCCAAAATATTAACAGTAAAGTTTTCTTAGCCTTCTTTGACTTTTTCTATATTATTATTTTTAAAGTAATAGTTATTTTGTTTTAGCAGTAACTTTATTGCCACTAATAGGATGATAATTTCTAAAAAGAATTTTGAAAATAAATTGTGCTTTATCAATTTGGAATTTAAGGGTTTTTTTAAAGTATTTATTTAATTTTATTTACAATTATTCTTAATTTGTCCAGAGAGAGAGAGAGGGAAAGTGAGAAAACAAGCTGCCAGATCTGAGACTTGAACCATGGTCAGCCATGTGGGAGTCCAGCACCTTAACCACCATGCCACCTGACAGTCCTTGAAATTTAAGCTTTTAGAAGTCTGTCTAAATGACCATATGCCACTGAAGTTTCTGAATTATTCTTCATACATTTTCTTTTTACACTTATAAATTTCTTCCATAAAATTATGTCTGAGAGACATGTACTCTAAAACATGACTTCACACCATGTTGGCTGGCCTGAATCACAGGCATATGCACACAATCACAGTGTGTATCAAGAGCTCTCAGGATGTGAACCCAGGGTCTTACGCGGGTCTAGTTGTATCACTATTGCACTACCACCTGTTCCCTACTCTTCACAGATTTATCAAACTATAATTAACTTCTCTTATCCAAATATATTTAGAATTCTTTGGTAGCAAAAAAAAAAAATTTAGATCCTTTAAATTTAGTTCAAAAGTGCATCTGCCATGAAGAATCCTTGGTCTTCTAATCCAGAAGTAATGTTACCCTCCCCTGAACTCCTTTAATTCTTTGAATCTTTTTCATGGGCATCTTGTCCATGCCACCTCCTCTCCACAGACTGTAAGATGTCTGAGTTCAAGAACTCATGTTCATCCTTCTTATTGGTTTCTGGAAGATACTCACTATATTTTGATTAAATAAAATTAATTTGTTATGAAAAAATTCTAATGAAATAAATACATTTCATATCTTAGGTCCAGAGTTTTGAAGATGAAACTAGCAGTCTTTTTGACATGACTTCAGGAACTGTAGGTAAGGATTCATCAAGGTGTGTGATTTCATCAATGGTTTTTCAGAAAGAAAATATAAGGAACTAGGACTTCATTTTCTTGATAGCTACAGAGCTTAAATTATCTCCAGGAGATGCCTACATTTATACATCATCTGGGATGTTCAAAACCTACTAGTAATGCAAATGCACATGTAAATTTTCAAATACTTATCACAGAAATGTTCAATATCCCTGCGGCTAGTATGGTATGTGGCTTGTCTAACGTTATGTAAGCTGACTACCGTAGTAGAGGGCATAGGACTGAAATGAACTGGATGAATGCTTGCTTATTCCTACTGTCCACTGTTTGAGGTCTCACAGTTACTTTATCTGTAATAAAGAGATAAGTGCAGATCACTTACATTTCAAATTTCACATAATCTTGATGTTAAACTCTCAGTGGAATCAAATTGCTTAGATATAACTTTCCAAATCATTGTTAGAATGACATTATTAATATATCATCCTAGACCATAGAGCAGAAAGCTTTTCTCTACTCCTTGTTCTTATTCTCCTATTCAACCATTATTGAGATTCAGCATTTTCATAATCTTATAATAGAGCTAGAAAAGGTAGGGATTAGTCAAACAAAATAGAGCAGAGGAAGCCAGTGCATTTCCTGGAAAAAGATATGCAAATTTTTAATTTAATTTAGTGTGGTGTCAAACACATCTTTTTCATTACCAAGTGTATGTTTGGGCCTCATTTTGCTAAATGATGTTTAGAAATTATGCATTAGTAATTATAGGGTCCTGCTGATTACATAAATTGTTATCCCACTCTTAGAAGTAATTACTACATAACCTGCATTGAGGTTTATAAGACAAAAATAAGCATCTGTTTTCCATCTAATTGAGTGCTTCTCAGTGAAGCTGGAAGTCCTCTTGCCAATAGGAACTGCCTTTGTTGACATTCAATTAAGAAGTCTACTGATATCATGTAAGTTACCCTAATCATTCCAAAAAATTATTGGAGATGTTAGGTATAAAGTACTAATCTACATTTAATTTCTTTCTTTTTTTTTTTTTTTAGATGTTTTTGCTACAGGGTGCATGCCCTCACCAGAAAGATAGAGACAAACAGACAGAAAGTGAGGAATCACCCTCCAGGGGGGATGGCCATGCCACAATCCCTTCTCCATTCTCCTCTCAGGATCTTGGGCACGCACGCACACATGCTCTCCATATATATATATATATATGGAGAGAGAGAGAGAGAGAGAAAGAGAAATTTTTGCCATATAGCACATGTGCTCACTAGAGAGACAGAAAATGAGAAATCACACCCCCTCCCAGGGGATGGTCACACTGCAATCCCTTCTCCATTCTATTCTCAGGATTTTGGGCATGAGTTTCAAGTCTCTGGGTCTAGGATTCAAACTGCACTCGGCCATGTGTGAGTCCAGTGCCTTAGCCTTAACCACCACAACCACCTGCTGGTCCCACAATACTATGAATATTAAAAGAAAGAGTATATTTAAGCATTTCATAAGTAAATTTGAGTAAATTGACTTCTTACAAATGCATAGGAATACAAGTCACAGGCATGATACCTCACTTAATTTGAAAAATTGTCACTGAAATAGCAAGGTAACATAAAGAGAAAAAAAGAAATATATACAAGTACCACTTAAGAGTGTTTGCATGGGGGGCCACCACACCCATGGCATGGTGGTTGAGGTACCTGGATCTCATATGGTTGTGCAGCTCAAGTCCTGGACCCAGAGGTTTGAAAAACACACAGGCACCTGTGTGTGTGTGTGCCCAAACCTGTAAAGGAAAGTGGAGGAGAATGGATTATTGCATGGCTGTCCCCCATGGGAGGGTACTGTGTTGCTTTCTCTTTCTCTCTCCCTGTGTCTCTGTTTCTCTCCAGTGAGCTTTTGCACCTTACTGCAAATCTAAATAAATAAATAAGTAAATAAGTGGTGTGTGCATGTTGGGGAGGGTGGGGAGAGGTCCATCATCCTTATTGCAGATGCCTTGAGTAATGTGGAATATATTGAGTGAAGTTGCAGACAGTTCTAGAAGAGTCCACCTATATATTAAAAGAGGAGTCTACTGTAGAACTATAGTAACATATTAAGGTTATAATTGCCATATGACTCTCTCTTAACTATTAAGTTGGACAAGACATATCTTTCCATCTTTAAAACATGAGATGAGGGCCAGTAGGTGGTGTGAAGGTTAAGTCGCTGGATCCTATGTGGTCAACAGTGTGGTTTGAGTCCTGGACTCAGCAACTGGAAAGTCACACTGGGCTCATGTGTGTGTGTGTGTACACGCGCTTGTGTGCGTGCCCAAAATCCTGAGAGGAGAGTGGAAGAGAAGGGATTATGGCATGGCCTCCTGGGGGTATTTTCTCACTTACCCTTATTTTCTCCCTCTCTCTCTCTGTCTCTGTCTCTTTCAGCAAACATACATGCCTTACAGCAAAAACTAAAATACGTAAGTAACAAAAATAAAAAATAAGGTGTTACAGCAAAATTACCAGAATAAGATTTAGTACTTCAAAATTTAACATTATTCAGAAGAATGTCCACCAATAAAAGAATGACCAAAACATTATTCAGAAGAATGTCCACCAATAAAATAATAACCTTAAAGCAATAGAAATCTTTAGAAATGAATATTCTCAGTGATATATCTGAGGAGATTGCATTATTGTGAGAGGACAATCTCCAGTGAGTAAAGATTCCTTTCAGATAAAATGTACCATATCTGATCTTTTTATGACCATAGTTAATTATTTCCTAGTGTACCAATCCTTCCACAAAAACTATAAACTCTGGACAAGATATTTTTAAAACTTTTTCCTAAAGGCACTAGAGAATAACCAAAAGGAGGCACATAGTGGAGGGGGTTTCAACATTTGGAAGAAAGAAATGGTGCCTGGTAAGTGCCCCTCTTTCTAAGACTTTTATACTGAAGTCTGGCTCCTGTTGGCAACACTCTAAACTGCTAATAGAAAGTAACACTCTTACAAGCCAGAAAAATCAGAAGACAAAATTTGAGGCTGTGACAACATTTGAGAAGTAAGATATGTGTCAGAAGAAAATCTCTAAATTCTGAGTATAATAGCTGCTGGAATTTCTAGCCAATTGACAGTCTAAACATGCATGGGAGAGGCTTCAAAAATCTCATTTAAGTCTAAAAGAAGTGAACTGAGATTTCCGCTTGGAGTTTGATTTCAGCCAGGATCCGTGCCTCCTAAAATAAAACACCATTTGCAATATAAATGGAATGTCAGGCACAATAAAATTTTACTGGACATGTAAATAAGAAAATATTAGGTAGTCAGAAAAGTCATAGAAAAATATTTTTAAAAAGGTTATAACTTTTCCAACAACCCAATATAACACATGATCAAGAAAAAGGTCAGGACCAGCAGTTAGCGTAATGGCTATGTCACTGGACTCACACGTAGTTGACCGCGGTTCACGTCCCAGACCCGGTGGCTTAAAACTCATGCTGGGCACATGTGCTTGCGTGCCCAAGATCCCGAGAGGAGAACGGAAGAGAAGGGATTGCGGCATGGCCATCCCCCCGGGGGATTATTTCTTGCTTTCTGTCTCTCTGTCTCTCTCTATCTCTGTCTGGTGATCACATGCGCCCTATAGCAAAAAAAAATATTCTCAAAAAAAAAAAGAAAAAGAAAAAGAAAAAGGTCAATTAATAGGAGCAAACCATGAGAAAACCCAGATGTTGGAATCAATAGGTAAGTGTTTTAGGGATGTTGTTATAATCATACTAAAAGATATAAAGGAAAATGTGGTCAAAATGAATAAGAAGGTAGAAAAATCTCAAAAACAAAATAAAAATCATAATAAAAATGAGATAAAAATTCTATGAATGACAAATATGATTTCTAAAATTCAAAATTTATTGGATGAACATAATAGCAGATTAGAAATGTTAAAAGAGGGATCAGGTGGTGTGTTGGTCAAGGCACTGGACTCTCACATGGCAGACCACGGTTTGCATCTGGACCTGGGACTTGCTTGCTTTCCCACTTTCCCTCTGTCTCTCTCTCTGTCTCTCTCTGGTCAAATTTAAAAAAATAAAAATAGATAAAATTAATAAATTTTAAAAAAGCATTAAAAAAAAGAAATGTTAAAGGAAAGACATGGTAAACCTCAATAAATATCAATTGAATTTATCTACCAATCTAAGGAAAAGGAAAAAAAGATTGAAAAGTTGTAATAAAAGTTATCTAAGTTTCAGAAACCTGTGAGACAATATCAAAAGGTCAAATATACTTGCAGTTGAAGTTCAAGAAGAAAATGACAAGGGAATTGGCCAGGGAAAAAATTTTTGAAAAAATGATTGAGGAGGGGCAAGATGGCTAACTAAGGATATCCGTTATGGAATCTCTCTTGGAGAAAAACCCAAAAAGTTGGATAAATGACTGAGTCTGGAGCAAAGGAGTGAGGTGAGACAAGAGTACAAGAGCAAGACTGTTTGCAGTTTTAGAGGCACCAAGTCTCAAGTGGATGATTTAATGGTTTATTTCTGAGTTTAAAAAATTGATCTCCTTTTTATCTTTTATATCTTTATAAAGATAAAATAAAGAAAAATATGGTCAAAATGAATAAGATAAAAGGTTTATATAAAAGATAAAAAGGAGGGAACCAGCAGTTAGCGTAATGGCTATGTCGCTGGACTCCCACGTAGTCGACCGCGGTTCGCGTCTCAGACCCGGTGGCTTAAATCTCACACTGGGTGCGCGTGCGTGTGTGCCCAAGATCCCGAGAGGAGAATGGAGGAGAAGGGATTGCGGCGTGACCATCCCCCCTGGGAGGTGATTTCTCGCTTTCTGTCTCTATGTCTGTCTGTCTGACGAGCGCATGGCCCTATAGCGAAAAACCTCTCCAAAAAAAAAGATAAAAAGGAGATAAATTGTTTAAATCTATAAATAAACCAGAGCCAACTGATGCTTCCCACAACAGGGGAGAACCAAGTGGGACTCCCTTCCTAAGCTT